ATCGAAACAAGATCGGCGCGATAAAAATCTTTCGTTTCGTGTCGGTGAATCCGCGATCCGATATCGAGCATCCACGTCGCGATCCAGAAATCGGATGCTTTGTTTAGGCACTTTGTTCAACCAGCACCGGCTTTTTAAATGGTCGCACGATCGAAGGGGAGCGCTGGGGTCGCGCGCCGCCGTTTCGGCGCGCTGCGATCGGTTACCGCGGCGGCACGCGGTGGGCAATGGAATCGCTGCTGGCATAAACCTGCGCGTTCAATTGTTGCGTTGCTGAATATGTTCGGGGTACGAGATCGTGGGACTCGCGTTCGAGTACTGAGCGTATAAATAGAGCGCAGGGTGAAGCCCTGGTGGAGGAACGCCGCGATGCGGTTGATGCGAATGATGATGCGTCTCGGATGAATTTACAGGGGACGATGAGATTTGCGGGTACAGTTGGGAGCTTAGGCTGGCGTCCAGTGGACTGGACTCGCCTGTCGTTTGGTAGACACTCTGCGATGGTGTGTGCTCGTGAGACTCGGGTGAATTAAGTGTAAACGGCGAGGACGCCGTGGTGGGACATACTACTTGCTGCGGTGACTGGTGTTGCGGTAGGGGCTCTGACATACTGACGTCTAAACACTAGTTGGTAGTTTGCGGATGTAGCAGCGGCAAAGGAAGCTGAAGATTGTTCTGTTTCGCTAAACTTGCGATCTCCGCCGTGATGCCTCCCTTGGAACCGGCCAGACCGTCCAACGAGGATGGCCCCTCGTTGTACCGTAAATCACAGACCGGGCTCTCGAAGCCTGTGCCCGGGGTACCGCCGCCGGTACTCTGCGGCGTCGGTGGATTGTGATTCGTATTGCTTTGATTCATATCACGGTGTACACGATTTTGATGCCGTATCAGATAACTGTCGCGCACGAACGTACGTCCGCATATGTTGCACTCGTACGTGGTGCTTGCCGTGTGGGTACGGATGTGAATGGCGAATTGACTCTTGGACGTGAACGTTAGAGAACATCTGTCGCACACCAGAGGCTTCTCGGCAACGTGGCTCCAACGGTGAGCGGTCACGTAGCTCTTCACCGCGAAACGTTTCTGACAGATATCGCAGGCATACGGCCTTTCACCCGTGTGCACCCGCTTGTGGGTGTTCAGACTGCTCTTCTGGGTGAACCTCTTCAAGCACAGCTCGCACTGGAAAGGTCTTTCTCCCGTGTGCGTCCTCATGTGCACCTCCAAGTATGGCTTACGGCAGAAACTAGCTTCGCACACCGTACAATGATATGGTTTGTTGCCCGAATGGAGTTTCATATGTACATAATATGATGAAGCAGAAGATAGCACCTTACCGCATACCTTACAGGGCTGCGGTCTGGACCTTGAACCTTCTTTGACGGTTTGCTGACCCGTCGACTGACGACTAGGCGTTTCCTGTTGGACGCTTTGAGTTTGTTGTTGTTGACCCTGCTGTTGTACTTGTTGTTGAGTTTGCTGGGCTTGTTGCTGACCTTGTTGGTTCAACTGAAGCGTCGTTTGCTGTTGAGGTTGCAAGTGACCCTCCTGTTGTGACAGGTCCTCCCGGTCGTCAGACAGGTTCACCATAGAGTTTGAACCGTCTGAACGGCTTGAAGCAACAGAATAGAAGCCCATTGGCTCGCTTTTAATCTGTTGCTCAAACATGGACGTCATTATGTCAGTCTGCTGCGGCTGAGCCAACTCTTGCGATTGTGGCTCCTGCTGCTGCACTGCTTCTTGATCGGGGAGCAGAGTCAGGTTGCGCTTGACAAGCTGCTCATATCCTGCGTACCAATCCACCTGCATGACAGTGAACCACTATGAATCGCCATTCACGGGACACGCTGAGACGCAAAAAAAGTTGCGACGACGTCGACAGCCCCGTAATTCCGGTATCATGCATGCCCAAATGTTCGAACGTACGCGTGTCAGGTTAGACCAGCGGTTTTGACATTTATCTTTGACAAGTGACAGAAGGTAGCTGGACGATCAGCTGATTGCATAACTTTTACACGAAGCGCTCGAAGACGGCACGATGCCGTCGTCAACAGAACGTAGCCCAGCAGCGAGCAACACGGGCAACTCTATTTTTAAAAAAGCGACCAGAGAAACGGCGGAATATTTTGACTGCGAAACCGGATTCCTCACAAGGCACCACGCAAGTGGGGGTCGCTTTTGCTGTAGCCGAGAAAAAAAGCATCGTTCTACGAACCTTTGCTAATGTAGTAGTCTGGGCTAGGGTCGAAAAACGTCACGCCTCATCGAGCGCACGCCTCCCGTTCTCGAGCGGCTTCACGGACAATCGCGAAACATTTGTACGGCCAAATTGTTTTTCTCCGACACAAAATATAAGATGGCTGCGACTATATTTCGCGACGGTCACCTATATGCACTCGTACAAACACACGCGCCTAAGTACCGACCGACGATATTCACCAACTTTTCTAATTGGCTGTCCTTCTTAAGCCGCGAATATTATGCTCTACTACGACCGACGTTGCGCTTCGAAAACCGCTGATTGGATCGATCTCTCCCAAAGCTTCATTCACCTGTTTGATTTTATGCATATTTAATGGACAAACTTTCTTAATACCAATAAGTTCTACTGTCCTGCGATAGAAACTGAGTTTTCCACTGACTCAGTGGGTATTTATTAACGTGTTATGCAAACGATTTTTTTGTTAATACTTTTCGCTTTATCTTTTCGCAGTTGCAAAGTTGTTAAAGAAAATGTTCTCTAAATCTTTAAAATAAATAATTTAATATTTTACTAAGGTTGACTTGTACATTTAATAACATCGACATATCATATTTAAAGATGAAAAATTGAAACTTTATAAAACGTACTCGTATTTAAGTGTTTAGAAACAAATATTTTATAAAATATTTAAATATAAAATGTCAGTTTACAGTACCATTTTTATGTATTTTTCTTCTAGTTTCACCGTTGAATCATTTATTGTACCTCGTAATGTCTTTTCTAAGTGCACGTGGTTTTAATTGTAATTTCAAACCTCTCTCAAATTGTGCGCAGTATGTATTCTACCCGCATGGCAATTACTGAACGCACCTTCAGTGACGACACACTAGGAACTCTCGAGTTCTATCAGCCTATCAAATTAAATTGAATTGTAACATTTTGAAATAATGTTCCTAACAGAAACAGGCTACCAACTCGAAAACTTTGTGTGTCTAACGTACTGAAGAGATAAGCTGGTTTCATTTACAAATACAGTTGCCCGCTAAATAACATTCAAGATCCATTGTAGACGGAAAAAATTGACTACACAATTTCGACATTCTTAAGATTTATCGTAGCAGTATTCGATATCGCAAATAGGTATATTTGAAACAATATTTTGGATAAATAATGTATATAACTGTAGAATTTTGTATACAACCTCGTATAAAGTCAAAATTTTATTTCTTCTGTAAACAACCTTATGCACAACACAATTATTTGAGTGTTAAAATAATGTAATATATCAGTTTATCTTTCAAATTTAGTAGAGTTATAAAATAAAGTACACATATTCTGTATTTATTGTATTATTGATGGTTAAATAAAATGAGTATTACATTTTTAGCTTCAATAATGGCTGTATCATCAGAAAATGTAATGAACCCAAGTCTAAATGATCCCGTAACAAAAGCAGTAGTGGATAATATAATGGGTAATCTACCCACAAAGAAACCTTTTGTTCGTTGTGATGACTGTGATCTATCATTTACAAGTCAAACAGTGTTAGATACACATTTACAAGGTGCCAGGCATGCTAAACAGGTTTGTATAAATAGAATTATAGTTTCGAAATAAAAGATCGTTGAATCTAAACCTAAAGAGTTGAAGGGTAAGATAACACACACTGAAGGAAAGAAGTCTTCATTATTCAAGCTAAGAGGAAACAAAAATTAGTAGCACAGACATCTGCTTTCTTTTTAGATTAGATCCAAGAATATAATGGCATCTCTTGAAGAAACAAAAGTGGCATTTACAAAAGATGAGGAAACGAATGGATTAAAATGTAATGTGTGTAATGTGTGCCTGAACTCTATACAACAATTACAGACACATTTAAATGGTATTTTATAAACAAAGGTTTGCTTAACTTCAATACATATATAATAAATTAAAAAAATATTTTGATTTATAGGGAGCCGGCACAAAAAAAAAGCAATGAGAGGTAATAAAGCCTACATTATACGCAAATCAGTATATGGGTTTAGATGTAGTCGCACATTGTGGCTTGACAAGATTATCGAAAAAAATATGATTGTGCTAATTTACTGCTTAATCTTATTCACATTTGCATGCTTGATGTTGCTACTCACTCTTTCTTTTCATTTGTTTCCATGAGAAAAAGCTAACCATTTACTTCTTGAATAGCTTTAATTGAGCAATTGCTGCTAAGACGCTTTGTGATATTTTCATGCTTGTTTAATTTATGCACCACTATTTATTGTTTATTATTTATTACTATTTATTATACATTATTTTTGTCACATTGAAAGTGTATATTTATTATTCATTTATTTGTGAACGCATTGTGCTTGAAAGCAACTCGACTACGAGTTATTTAGTTATTTGTTATGATTAATAAAGTTTGTATTGTTCACAAAATAATTGCATATCTTTCCCATTTTGTTGTAATCCTATTATAAATGTATAAATTTTACATGCATATTTCCTCTCTTCTATCACTTGAAGTTTTCTTAATACACGCATTTTTCATTTATTAATATCTCCTTTTAATGAATGCAATACATTGAGCAACCTTTCTATTCACTGAAAAATTTATACTTCTAAAAGTTCGAAACTATTTTTTCAATGTTATTTTTATTTTTATATAATATCAATTTTTTATATCTATCTTTGTATTCTTTAAATTTTTTACTATACAGAAAACAATAAAATGACATAAATATTGAATGTTAATTCTTGCATACTGAATATATATATAAAATACATTTCTAAGTATCCATTTTAAAGAGGTAAAGAATTATTTGAACATCTATGCACACGCATATATGTGTCTGAATCTTTTTACCGATATCTTTTGTTAAAACAGTTTCCATTAATGGTTGCTTTTTCCATAGCATGAATGTAGTGTTCAAGCTGATTTATTATCACATTTGATCGCAAAAGCGGTTGTGATACATAGATAGTGTTGATCGCACATTGATGCTTAGGTGAGTGGGGAGGCAAGGATGTTGGAAGTCCAATGACATCAACTCCCACAAATGCCCAGGACAACTCAACATCGAAAAGTGTATCACTTTCATGCAACATGTGCAACAAGATTTTTAATTCCCCAACGCAGTACAATGTGGTATGTAAAACTAATGTAAAATCAAATGCGTAGTAATGAATAATGATATAGTTTATCTTACATTACAGCATATAACATCGAAGAAACACACTAGTAAGTTAAAACAGGCAAAAATTCAAAAGAAGAAAAGGCTCTTTCCATATTGGAAAAAACCTAAACCTGGTGCAAATCCCAAAAATCTTGTTCAGTCATTGTCAAATAATTTTGTACCAGGAGGTTTCACAAATCAAACTTAGAAAAAAAAAATATTACAATCAATATATCTATTTTAATACATATACAAATTTTTTACTTCTGTACATTGTATTCTTTGAAGAGCGAACGAGAAACAATTTAAAAATCATTTCATATAAGATGCCAATTTAATATTTAATTTAATGGAACATTCATGATTTGCTATGTACTCAATTTTACACTTCCCCTTTGCGCACTTTTGTTGTTCTATGTCATGTAACATATTAAAAAAGGAAAACTGCTAATTAGTATGATTTTTGATAAATATATTTAATGATTGATGAAAACATTAGAAATCAATCATGTAATGTATGTGTTACCTATTTTAGACAATGAAATATGTTTCAAGCATTTGTAATACCTTTATTATTAGATGAAGTGACACAAGGAGATACTGATGTACTGTATGAATGTATATATGTCCATTAAAAAATTATATAAAAAATATATAATGTTGCAAGCTATACTTTTCACTGTACGATTTTATCAGTCCTGTAGTATATGTTGAATAAGTTTAGTATCTCTTTCCGAGAGTTGCATTCCATCAGACTGAAAAGTAGACATACACTGTGTAAGAAAATTTCCGTTTTAATAGGATGTTTCTCGTTTTATTTAACATTACCTCCATTGAATAACTTCTTAATAAACGACTAAGTTCTGCATTTTGTTTTTGCAAAAATTTTATTTCATTATTCAACTCGTATCTTTCTTTTAACGCCGAATGGTACTTTTTGAGACCAACTAACAAATTATCCCAAAGGCTTTCTCTATCCAGTGAAAAAATATTTCTATATCTTTGCCAGAATTCGATTATATCTTCATCTTTTATATTTCGTGATACTGTGGTTTTCACTTTCGTTGTTTTTTCAGTAATGGGCACCGCACTCTCCTGCTTCTTAACGAATTCGTGCCTCTCTACAAATTCTTTCAAAGCATTCATTACAAATTCGGTTTCAATTGTTAACAGATGACCTTTGTCGCACACGAGTTGACGCTTCGGTTCACCAGTGGATTCTAATAAAAATTGACGAATGTTAAACATTATTCCTAAAATTTCTGAATTATGTAAAGGAAAGTGACATTAGAATTTTTGCTTTCGTACCATCAGTAACTTCAATAATGCCTTGAGCAACACAAGTTGATGCAATCTGTTCTCTAGGAGATGATGTTTCAGTCGAAGATGTTTCAGGTGTAGTGATCTTGATTTCTTCCTCTTCTTCTACGTGTTCGTCGTCCTGAAGCTTTATACAACAAAGTGCTTCTTCTACAGCTGAGATTAAATTATCCTCTGTCGGATTTTTTTCAATATTTTCGCAAATAGGCGGTAAAGTGATACTGCAGTGTAACATTAAAATCAAAAACGGAAATGTACATTAAACTCGTAGAATATTGTTTTGCGATTGTATATAGATTTTAGTTTTTATTTACTCAGACGAAGAAGTTTGAAGGTCTTCGTCGGATGGTCCGCAAATACTTGGTACGCTTTCCCTTTTCACCGTACAAGAAGGACAATGCGCGTAAGGTAGAAAGAAGTTAAGCAAAAATTGAAGTTCTTCTTCGGATGTAACTTTTAACGCCTGAAAATTCGTATTTTCGTTTGATTCGATTCAATTCAATTTATTTTCAATAGATTACCTCGAATACTTTATCCAGACGAATCAGCAAGTTATCTTCTTCTGTAAACTGAGACAATAAATCTTTCAAAGTATCTTCAATAAGGTAATCACAGTGACCAGTGACTAATTTGGCAATGTGATTCAACAGACGTCGTTCTAAGTTCATTTCTTCTAACGTTGTTGCTGGCTTGTATAATTTGGAAATTGTCTTCTTCTTCTTTGCCTCCTCCTTTTCTTTAATCATACAAGAAGAATTTGTTAACCGTGATTATAATAATCTTATTACAAATATAACTTATCATAATTTTACCCTTTTTTATAGCACACATAGCGTAACAATAAGATTTTAAATCCTCCTTTTTTAATAATTCCATTTTCGGTGGTTCCCATTTAATACCTAACAGTTGTTCGTGAATAATTTTATCCGCTGCCAAAAGCTAAAATCAAATACGAATCAAAAGTACAATAAATAAATGATTTATCATTTTACATTCGACAATCTAACGCTTTGTGCACCTTGTTCACTAATTCGTTCGCTGTTTGAATATTCATATCCCAAATTTGCATATATTTTTTATCGTTAATAGCGGCAATATTTTTAGACTTCTCCTCTAAATCCTTTACAGCCCTCTGCGACTTGAGAATCTCACCAGTAAGCTTCTGAATCTCCAATCTCGTAGACTCCTCTAAGTCCGCGTACGTTTTTCTTAAACCGTTGATCACATCTTGAAGCCTGAAATTCAATTCGATGTATTTTAATATAAAAATAATGCGACGATAAACATTCCCTGTACCAACTTATTAATCTTCCTCTTCTGCTGATTCTTCACGATCGTGTTCTCTTCTTCGCGACGTTTCAGCACGGCATAATTATAATCTAATTTCTCCACGTTCATTAAACATAAAGCCTTCATATTCTGCACCTCCTGCTGCAGATTCTGTATCTCTAATTCGAAAGTGATCTTCAATCGTCTAAATTCTTCCTGATGCTGTATCGTCACCCTTCTCATGTCTTCCTCGTATTGTTGCATTATTTCCTTTTTCTTCTCTTTCGCTTCGGCGGTATCGTCTTGGTACTTTTTAAACAACGCGTCCCATTTTTCAGTGGACGTCGCCAGAAGTATTTGGCGCTCCGATTCGATAACATTTTCAATGAGCATCAGTTCGTTACGGTAAGCTTTCGTCATCGTGCGTACCTGTACGAAATATTTATTACCGAAACTCCTACAAACGTTACAGCAAACTTTGCAATTACAAACTTTTTCTACGAAAATTAATAAACCCGTATCTTTAGAGAACTGTGAAACAGGAAAAATGGCAAAGTTGCAAACATTTTTATAGATAAATAGATTAAAATGGTATAACTTTAGAAATTATCGTTGAATGTACTAAATGGGTAAGAGTTCTTTAACATTTATGCAAATTCGTGTGCGTTACAAGTTTATAAGAACCATAGTGCAGTTATGAAAAAGCTAACTTGCGATTCCATTCTTTCAATGAGCAAATCGATGTCTTCGTTCTGTTTTTTTACTTCGTCGGCGTACTTTGCATCGGCGTTTTCAATCTCTTTCTTTAGTTCCGCGATCAAGGCATCCTTTTTCTGTAATACTTCGAGACACTTGGCATTTTGAGCCTCTAATTCATCGTGAATATCTAGTGGGTCTTTGCATGAAAGGATCTCGGGCCACTTTGCACTAATCTCGCGGTACTTCTCCATATACTTCTTCTCTTCCTCTTCGAGTACCGCCAATAATCTATTCCTTGTCTCTTGAACTTCTTTTCGTCTTTCCAATTCCCTTGCATCGTTCGCTACTCTTACACCAGTGACCTTGGGATATACTATTCTATTATCTCTCCAAAGATGAATAAAAATCAAAATCATTATAACAATTTATTACATATTTTGGTATACACGTACCACTTCTTCCCCTTCGCTCTGTAATCTCTCTAACTTGTCAAAACTGTCAAGTATCTGCTTCTCGATGGGTGTTATTTCCACACTTGCGTCATCCTCGATTTTTGCATGCCTGAATGAACGTTTCAATTAAAAATTGGCAAAGTTCTATTTAAATATACAAATGATTTTTGAAACTGTGCCCACTTCGTTCGTTCTTCTATGCGCCGTTGAATGCGAAGTTTCCGAGCCAGTTTTCGTTCTTCAGGATCAGTGGATAAAATAGATGGTCCCTCTGATTCTTCCACGGCTTCGGAATATATCTCAAAAATTGTAGAGGAAATCATTTTAATTAATGAGACTCAATTGCACGAAATTAAAAATCTATTTTCTGGCTCGCGAATTAATTGGACGCCAATGTCAATATGTTATGAGAAAGGTTACAAGATGTTGGTAAGTGGGAATTAATAATGAAGGATAACAATCAAGGGATTTAGAGTAAACAACTTTGTTTGTTCGATAAAAATTTATTGTTCGTATTCACCGTCGATAACAGAAAATAATTCAGGTCTCGCTTCAACAGATGGTGCTGAATGTCCCTAAAACGCTGCTCACTGCATTCATCAATTTAGGGCTATCTATTCAACAAACACCTACACAATGTAACGGTACTTTCAGACATTCTGCATAACAACAACATTTTAGATTACGATGCAAATTCTAAGAAAGTTACTTTCAAGTAAAACTCAGAAATGAGTAATCTCACGTGATAAGTGAATCTCCTCAGTGGTGATAAGAAAACTTCTTTACTGTTATTTTCTATATATATATATATATATCATTAATAAATATATTAATCTTCTTTTACTAATTGTAAGACTTATAAAGCATACATATATATAATAAATGATAGTTATTCTAAAATATAAAAATGTAATATTTACAAATATACTGTCTCATTTAACAAGCCTGGCTACATTTTTGGATATATTTTAGAGATCAAAAGTAATAAATTACACGAAGGAAGTGATCCAATGACGGACAAAGATAGAACATTGTACAATAAGTAGTAAATTAGATAATCCTTCAGATAAATTTAACAGAGTTACCAATTGCGAGTTAAGTATGCCTCCCTCGCTTATGCACCATTAACAACGTGACGTCTGTGAATACCCTTTTGTTCTTAGAAAGAAAGTATAATACTACGAATGCATTAATTCATTTCTAACTTAAGTACCTATGTTCTTATATACCTAACGGAATAAGACGATTGAACGAAACGTTTAAGGACTTGAAAGATTATCTACAAAAAAACAGCGTGTATTTGTTAATACGTTTATTTACGGATACAAAACACATGGCACGGGAGTATAAAGAAAAATAAATAAATTATTTTTATAAGAATTAAGGCGGAGTGTAACTTCGACAGAACGACTGTTTCAAATTGAATGTCCTCTGAATCACTATCACAGAACACGCAATAGGCGTATCTTATTCGAAACGTTCTCGGTGCGAAACAGTCGTGGAATCGCCTTCGTTTTCGGGCGAAGCGATTTTGTGTGCGACGGAAAATCGCTTTCTCTAGCTCCGAATGGCGTGCCCCTAACCGACAGAACGGACATTCGGTTACTGTTTGTCGATAGAGTTAATTTCGTATGAGCGGACTGTCGTGAACCATGAAAAGAACGCACGCCACGAAAGGATAAACGAACAGTGTGGTTCTTGGGGAGTCGCGGCCACCACATCGACGCCATGAATCCACGACTTTGACGCGATTTTAGCGGAAACAAGATGGAGTACGGCCAGGACCGTCCAAACGTGTCTCACCGCCCCGCAATACTCGACGTGTTATTGTCCACGTAATTGCATTGATTCGAACTATATTCACATTGCTTCAAGAATGTACGTACGCGGCTCGATCAAGGAAAATGAAATATTAAAGAAATCGCTCGAAAAACGCAACGCATAAGAATATTTAAGAATTTCTTAGAAAATAAATAACCAACTGTTCTCGTTAATTAAACGCGTCCTCTGGACTGCTTCAAGCTACGATTCCCATACTCCCGCATACGGCTTCATAATGAACCACAAAGAAGCACCCCAGAAACGAATATTTCGAGAAAACGTCCGTGCGGACCGCAAAAAAAGCAGCCAACGGGAACAGAACGCACGAACCACTCTGTCCCGATGCGGACGACAACAGTACCGCGACACGAAATGGCACAGGAAAGCCAGACATCCTAATTCCGTGATATTTCGATCGACGTGCATCGGTTACAACACAAAAGCGGACATGTCCGGAAAAATGTTTCACCGGCACGTACATACGATACGCGACGCGCGCCGGCATCGAGCCCGCGACGCGTTTGTTTGATCGTTACTTCCTTGATTAGAGAGAGCACGTCACAAAGTTAAGTACTTTTATTTTCGTAATAATCCGATTTTCCATCTTTATTTCTCGGGTAGAAAGTACCGATGTGCCCCGGGTAATTGGCTGCTCCTAAACCGGCCCTGGAGGGAGCAGGATGAACGGAGACGGCGTGAGAGGGGGTGCGCGTGCAACAAAGATGGCGGACGAGAGGCGACGGCGGTGACGGCACCGAGAGGTAGGGGGAAAGGGACAAAGAAGCGAGAGAGAGCGGGAACGGTTGGGTGAGAAGAGGACGGGTAGACAGGGTGCTGGGCGATTCGTTAAGTGGGGCGGAGGGGCAGGGGGACAGCGGGACG